ACAGCATACATAGCAGAAAGGATAGCATCAAAATCAAGATCAAAGATCGCTACACCAGCCCTAAGGAGCTCATCCCAGCGAGGGATCTCACTAGCCCCGGGGAACTGCTGACGCCAAGCGTCCGTGAGGCGGCCAAAGCAGCGCTGGGTGGAGTGGGCACCCCCACACTGCTCACCCGCGCGGTCGCCGGAACGAAGAACGTAGGCGCAGGGACCAGTACCCCCACCCCTCTGACGCGCAGCGTACCACTCACGAAGCTGCTGAGGCGGAGGGATGTCCCGCGAACGCTGCTGCTGCTGCCGCTGCGAGCGCTGGGCACCACCACCGCCGCTCCGCTGCTGGGTACCACCACGACCAGCTCCACCTCCTCCACCACCACCGCCTCCTCCGCCGCCGCCTCCACTGCCTCCACCTCCACCGCCTCCGCTCCCGCTGCTGCCTCCACCACCACCGCTGGCACTACCACTACCGTCTCCGCCGCTGCTGCCACCACCACCACCACCACCACCAGTACTCCCGCCACCACCCCCACTCCCTCCGCCGCCTCCGCCGCCACCGCCACCGCCCCCTCCAGCTCCGCCCGCGCCCTTGCCCCCCTTGCCCTTGCTAGAGCGACGTCTCCCACTAGGGGCAGACGCCGCGCCGACCGACTCAAGACCAAGCAGGTCGGCCGCAGCAGCAGAGGCAACAGAGGGCAGCAAGGGGGAAGGAGAGCACCCCTCAAAGATGGGGGTGCGAGGGTCACCACGAGAGGCACCTACAGCGACTATGCTCTTCTCCGCTGCGAGGAGGGCCTTCTCGAGGAGGTCGACGGTGAGAGTGGTGGGACAGACTGCGAGAAAGTGGTCCCTGACTACGCGGAGGGAGTCAGGGAGGCGCGCGACTACGTAGTAGAGAGTGATGTACATGGGGGGGGGGTTCTTAGCGCAGAACTCAGCAGGAAGGGCGGCGCGGTAGCGAGTGTCACTAGTGCGGAGGTGCGTAATGAGGTCAGTGACAGTGGGAAAGACAGAGAGGTCAGGAAAGAGGTAGGGAAGCATGAGACGGCTCAGTGCAGCAGTGGCAGGGGAGGAGTAGCGCGCAACTACAGCGTCGTACAAGGTCTGAGCACTCTTGTACTGACTAAAGTGCGCACGCTCAGAGGTAGGGAGGTGGCGACGCACAGCAAGACGTGCAGCAGCATCGCGGGTGGCCCATTGAGAGCGGACAGTGGGATCAGCATCGGCAGCAGGAGCAGGAGAGGCGCCAGAGGTGAGGTCAAAGAGAGAAAGGCTGTCAGCTCTGTCGCACTGTAAGAAAAGCTGCAGGTCGTCTAGCCAGACCTCAAAATCAATGGCTCGACCCTCGGCGTCAAAGGCTAGGACACTAGGGGTGGCCATGATGACGACAGCGAAGCAGTGCAAGCAGTAGGGAAAGAGGGCGCAGTGACAGAGGGACTGTGCTCACCAGGCAGGGCAAGTCGTGCAGCTCAGCAGAAAGGCGGATCGACTCCCGGGCAGCTCGGCAGCTGTGGGGCGGCTCGGGTGCTGCTGGGCGGTCCGGCTGCTGCTGGGCGGCTCGGCTGCTGCTGGGCGGCTCGGCTGCGGCTGGGCGGTCCGGCTGCTGCTGGGCGGCTCGGCTGCTGCTGGGCGGTCCGGCTGCTGCTGGGCGGCTCGGCTACTGCTGGGCGGCTCGGCTGCTGCTGGGCGGGCCGGCTGCAGTGCAGCGGCGGGGCCTGGACAGAGGCCGGCGGGGCCGGGACAGGTGCAGTGGCGGGCCGGGAAAGGTGCAGCGGCGGGCCGGGACAGGTGTAGCGGTGGGTCGGGACAGGGGACGGCGGGGCCGGGTGTGCAGTGGCGGGGCCGTCAGGGTGCAGCGGCGGGCCGTCAGCAGGTACAGCGGCGGGCCGTCAGGGTGCAGCGGCGGGCCGTCAAAAGGTGCAGCGGCGGGCCGTCAAAAGGTGCAGCGGCGGGCCGTCAGGGCTCAGCGGCGGGCCGGGAAGGTGCAGCGGCGAGGCCGGGAGAGGGGACGGCGGGGCCGTGACAGGAAACGGCGGGGCCGGCAGAATGCAGCGGCGGGCCGTCAAAAAAGGGACGGCGGGGCCGTCAAAAACGGGGCCCGCGGCCGCGACGAAGCGGCCGCGTGGCCGATTCGAGGGCGGCGGGGCACAGCCGGGCCGAGGGGGCGGCGCGGCGCGGCCGTAAAGCCCGCGCGACGTGGGCCCGAGCCGCGCGCGCTAAAAAAAAATTTCGCGCGCTACTCGCGGGGGGGCCCACAAAGGCAGCGGGAAATGCACTAAGGGGGGAGGGGGGGAGCGCGCCTCGGGGAGAGTAGGGCGCTCCGGGCAGAGAGAATATCGAGGGTGGGCCCAAAAAAAATCGGTCCTTAAGAGGGACCCGCTCTATACCATGTGAAGATAGGTAGACAGGAATGAAATGACTAAGTCAGAAATTGGTACAAATGGGAAACCTAATTGTGTTGTACCCCTTATGGGATACCCCACTGTAGCCTACACAAACAGGTAAGCTATATGTTCTGACAGAATATTCGGTATTTGAGAACTATTCGACATTCGTTCGAATACATGAATTTCGAGAGAATAGGAATCGACCGAGAATTCGAAAATATTCGAATCACGAGTATTCGTGAATGTAGAATATTCGAGCAACGAATATTCGGGGTATTCGTTACCATTAACCCCCCTCATACTTTCCCTACATGTGGTTATCATTTTTTGGCAGTCTGTGTACAAGAGGCCTCGTGAGAGCCGTGCAAGATAGTAGCTGTTGAGGGGTTAGGGATAGCGTGTGGTGCAGGATTGAACCGTGGTGTTGGTACTATAAGGTACACTGCATCACCCTGTGTCGAAAATGCATTAGCCGTTCGAAACTGCCTGTACAGAATTTATTATTCGACACTTAATCGTATTCGATTCGAATTCGACAGTATTCGAATCGTATTCGTATTCGGTTTTGGGTCGCTCAGTATTCGGTAGAATAAGAAACCACACAGTATTCGGAGAATATTCAGAAAAAATATTCGTATTCGTATTCGTATCCGGATTTACAGGCTTACTTCACAGGTATACATGCAAAAGGCGGATGACAAACGTGAAATAACGAGGCAACCATGGTGCACACAGCATGGCACGTACATGGTAAGCAGTATTCAAACTTCTTCACCCGCTCTTGCTTCATCTGCCTCAACCCCGCCCTGCCGCACACAGCATGCAGCACACAGCATGCAGCACACAAACGGATCGGTGAGACGAACAGGATTTTTTTTTGGCCTAAATTGTTCGGGGCGAACGTGTTCGGTGTTCGCCTGAACACGTTCGCCGTTCGCCCGGCTCAGCTGGCCCAGGCGCGTCTAACACGAACGTGTTCGTGTTCGACACGGGCCTTCGACGAACACCAATGTGTTCGACACGGGCCTTCGATGAACACCAATGTGTTCGACACGGGCCTTCGACGAACACCAATGTGTTCGACACTGGCCTTGGACGAACACCAATATGTTCGACACGGGCCTTCGACGAACACCAATGTGTTTGTCGACGAATAGGCCCGCGACCAATTTTTAGGTCGCGGGCCTTGGTGTTTGGGCTCAGATCTGGCATTTCGAAGTTAGTTAAGTACAAATCTAGCATTTCGCCGTTGCTTAAGTGCGGATCAAGGCATTTCGCCGTTGCTTAAGTGCAGATCTAGCATTTTGCCGCTGCTTAAGTGCGGATCAAGGCATTTCGCCGTTGCTTATGTGCAGATCTAGCATTTCGCCGTTGCTTAAGTGCAGATCTAGCCTTTCGCCGTCAGACGCTGGCACTAGCATGGATGAAGCAGGGCGGGACTGGCTTGGGGGGTGGGGGGAGGGAATGTGCAACGATTTGAATTTTACTCTATTTGGACCTTACAGCCACCTAACAAATGTCAACAATGCACAATCCACAAACGTGTAAATGTAGTCCCGGGGCGAACATGAACGTGTTTGCCACGAACACGTTCGTGTTCGCCTGCGTCAACAAGGTGTTCGCCTTCACAGGCGCACGGCGAACACCCTTTTTTGGGAAAGTCGTTCGGCGAATCGAACAGTGTTCGGTTCGCCGAACGGCGGTGTTCGTGCAGGGGCGAACGCAAACACGTTCGTGTTTGCCTCTTGCTCATCCCTAGCTCTGCTCAGAAACAAACACTTGGCAAGATGAGCTCAATCTAGGCTGTTGAAAAAACATTCTCAACACTCATCACGCACATATTTCATCACTCATAAATAACATCACGCATAAATCTCCCAAGCACGTAAGAAGGGGGGAGGTCACCTGCGTTGTATGCACTTGAGAGTGAAGATGTTCGACCGGTGCCGCCTTAGGTCCGACCCCCGGCTGCACAAGGTCACACATGGGATGGCACATGGGATGGCACATGGGATGGCACATAGGATGGCACATAGGATGGCACATGGGATGGCACATGGGATGGCACATAGGATGGCACATGGGATGGCACATGGGATGGCACATGGGATGGCACATGGGATGGCACATAGGATGGCACATGGCATGGCACAATGGGATGACATATGCGATGGCACATGGGATCACACATGGGATGGCACATGGGATGGCACATGGGATGGCACATGGGATGGCACACGGGAGGGATGACACATGGGATGGCACATAGGATGACACATGGGATGGCACATGGGATGACACATGGGATGAAACATGGGATGACACATGGGATGGCACATGGGATGACACATGGGATGATACATGGGATGGCACATGGGATGACACTTGGGATGGCACTTGGGATGGCACAATGATTGGTTTAAGATCAGAAGAAACACATGAAATAGAGAGGCTGGTGGTGGCTGCTGGCACCATCCGAACTGAATGTAGAAGATCCAGTCCATCTTCATCTCGTGCATTGGCACGATCATCACATCTCTGTCTCTCAAGACCCTAACCTTTCCTCTCTTCAAGCTTTGCCACACTCGCCCATGTCCCCCCCCCCCCCCTGTAATCACACGCACCCAGTGGTATCGGGTATGAAGGGGATCCAGTCCATCTTCATCTCGCGCATCGGCACGATCATCTCGGTCTCCATCTGCACTGACTTGATGCCCAGCTTGTCTGACGGGGCGAATGGTGACAACACCTGGTGGAGAGCGGTGGAGAGCGGTGAAAAGAGGTGGGAGGCAGTTGATAAGCACTTGGCACGATCATCTCTGTCTCCATCTGCACCGACTTGATGCCCAGCTTGTCGGACGGGGCGAATGGTGACAACACCTGGTGGAGAGCGGTGGAGAGCGGTGAAAAGAGGTGGGAGGCAGTTGATAAGCACTTGGCACGATCATCTCTGTCTCCATCTGCACCGACTTGATGCCCAGCTTGTCGGACGGGGCGAATGGTGACAACACCTGGTGGAGAGCGGTAGGCATGAGCAAAGGCCGAGTCGAGTAATACTGGACTCGTTTTCAGCCGACTCGTCTTGAAGACGAGTCGAGTCGAGTATTACTCGCCCGAGTAATTTTACCCCTGAGCCCGACTCATTACTCGTGTAAAAAAACGAGTAATTTATTACTCGGACCGAGTAATGGAGTACTCGTTTTGGATCGAGTAATACTCGACTCGTTTTTTGCCCTCCCTAATTCTGCAAGGTCATGGACTATGGTGCACTGTCAACTATGACAGGTTCGCGACCAACCCTAAACTCATCGATCTTGAAGATTTGACTCCCCACAACACAAAATCGTCACATTTTGTGCATCCAACCAATGTCTCTCTCTTAACCGCGTGTTACCGCTCTGGATCTAGAAAAAACAACCCAAACAATTTCACACATTTTGTGCATCCGAACAATTTCTCTTTCACACATTTCTCTTTCTCTTTCTCTAGAAAATCCAACCCCCATGATTTCACAGTTGGGCTGAGAGTGGGGCTTTCCCAGATGTGGATCTCCAAATCACCTACCGAGGTGACTCTTGAGTCGACTCAAAAGTCTCCAAATCACCTACCTACGCCCTGCGTACCTACACCCATTGCCAACTCCCCCACCAAGTTTACTCGCTTACTCACGAGTACTCGTTTACTCGCGAGTGCTCGTTTTTACTCACGAGCAATGAAAATACTCGTTACTTGCTTTCGGAAACGAGTAAACCGCGAGTAGTCATTTTAAAGCGAGTAATACTCGACTCGTCAAAACCGAGTAATTTCTCGAAAACAGCCGACTCGTTACTCGCCCATAACGAGTAACGAAAACGAGTCGAGTAAAATACTCGACTCATTGCTCATATCTAGAGAGCGGTAGAGAGCGGTAAAAAGATGTGGGATGCTGTTGATAGGCACTAGGCACGATCATCTCGGTCTCCATCTGCACTGACCCTGATGCCCAGCTTGCCCAACAGGGCGAACGGCGGCAGCACCTGGTTGGGCGTAATTAGGACAGATGGGAAGCGGTAGGAGGAGGAGTGTGATTAATAAGCGGTCGGTGTAAACCCTTCCTCTGTCTTCATTCAGATTGGCTTAAATGCTAGCTTAATGTGATGCAATGTAAGATAGAATAAGAAGGGGTGGGGAGGTGAGGAAGGAACAGATGAGGGAGAGACGTGGTAGCATTGAGGTTGGAAGGGCTGGGGGCGGGGCCTTGACAATGCATATACTTCAAATGTTGCGGGCAGACCAGAAATCCCAACTGACATCCTCGAAACCTGACCTTCACCTCGGACCATGTAACAAAGGCCGAAAACATGCGGAGCACATGAACCCTGAACCCCAAACCCAAGCCTAACCAAAACCCGAAATCCTGTACCCGTCTCTATGGCTAATTCTTTATTTTGAGCGTCAAGGCCAAGCCATGCACGTACCGCGACGACAGCTGGCACGTGCACGACCTTGTCCTTGCCCTTCCAGTGCACCAGCTGCGCTGCAATGCGGGACATGACAGGGTCGCAGGATGGTGGGGACAGGGTCGCAGGATGGTGGGGACAGGGTAGCAGGATGGTGGGGACAGGGTCGCAGGATGGTGGGGACAGGGTTGCAGGATGGTGGATGGGATGGGATCGTGCAGGGGCGGAGGGTTCATGGAGAGCTGTGTAGCTGACTGATAAGTCACGAATAGAAATATGCTTTGTGAAAACAAAAAACGGAGCACGAAACGAATTGGAGGTGTACGTGGGAGAAAGGGAGATTGAGAGCACCACGGAGTCCTTCTGTCCTTCATAATTGTGTTCTGATTTCTGGCATTCGTGCAATCTTATCTTGAGACGTTACCACGTCCAGGACCAAGTTCAATCATACTGCTACGAGCCTTTCAGCTTCCATTGGGCTTTGGGCTTCCGTTGAGCCTTTCAATCAACTCACGCTCTGTGCATCCAAAGAGGTAGACGCGCTTGTCGTGCAGCGGGCCGCCCTCATCAAACGCCTCCTGCACACAGCGGAGCAGGGTCACGAGGGCAAGGCGGGAGACACAGGGAAAGGGGGGAGCAGGATGTAAGTGCGTGTGCTCGCTTGTTGATGCGAACCCCTGGGTTGTGGAGAAGCGTGGTACGGGGAGGGCGGGAGACAAGGGGAGGAAGACGACGGAGAGAGGGGGGAAACAGGGAGAACCATGGCTGCCTTGTTTTCAGGGCTGCACCCGTGGGCTCAACGAGTATTACGCAATAAAGTGACACGAAAAGGATACACGGATGCGACCGCTGATGTGAGCGTGAGTGGGAAGGCTCGCTTCTCAAGAATGTGAGTGTCGGCCTTCCCACTGAGGATTGTGGCTAGGAATCGGCACAGGGTGAGGCGAGCGAGAGATTGTACTTATATAGAGACTGCTGATAGAGGGAAAGCTGATAGAAAGAGCTGCAATGTGTGCGCTTACATCAAGGTTTGAGAAGTCCCACTCAATCTCGTACACTTTGTCGTATTGGTCCCACTGGCAGAGAGAGTGCGAAGAAAAGAGGTGGGCGGGGATAGGGAAGGCATGGGGGACAGGAAGAGGAGAGGGGGGACAAAATGTGTTGGAAGAGGGCGGTTGGTCGAAGCGTATATGCTTCCCATTGCATCATGCGTGTGAAATTAATTCCATAAGGAAGAACTCCAGGATAATAATTGGTCAAGGCAAGACGAGCAGAGAGAAGTAGGTAGCCTTATTAATGGGAGTTCTATCAGGGCCCTTAGCCTAGAGAACCCCTTTCCGCATAAGCTTCTAAGATTCTGAGTTGGTGAAAATGGGATAAAGGACGGTCAAAGACGTGCTATTAGGAAGACAAAGGACGAATCACAGACGTGCTTAACAGGTGTGCAGCGTTGAAGCTTGCAGACTGGGTTGGGAAAGTGAGTGTTGACATTCAAGCTTCAAAATGCAGCAATAAGGTGTGCCAATAAAAAACGAAGGATGAGAAGCAAGTAAACGAAGGTGAGGTGAAGCAGGAAACGGATGGCATGGGTAGTACCTCCGTGCCGACCGGAAATGCTTCCTTCCATATGTCTTCCTGAAACACGGCATGCCGATGGCAGGAAGTAGTTAGATACAACCAATAGTTTGAAGAGAGAGGACCGTCGAAAGCGCGTGGATCGGCTGACATGAGCAAAAAAGCGCGAGCGAAGTTGAACGACAGACAACGAACGATCGGCGACGAACAGCCAGGAAAGAACGGCCAGCGACGAACAGCTGGGAACGAATGACCGAGAAGGAACGACCGGCAATGTACGACCGACATTAAACGACCAGCATCTCGGCACTGACGGGCCGGCATCCACCCAGCAACAATAGAAGGAGAGAGAAAGAGCAATGGCAGACACAACGGACCATTGCACATTTGCGGCACTAGAGGGTGGGCGAACCGAAGCGGGAGCTCACCATCTCTGCCATTTATGCCCACCGGACCCCCGATCACGAGCGCGCGCTACACAACGGCTTTGCGGAAGCGTCGATATGCGAACGCGACGAAGGCGAGATGCACGTTTCCAGCCGAAATGCCGCTTGATCACACGAGACAAGGTTTGGACTTGATCTAGGAACTAGCTCGCTACAGCCTAGGCTTCGATACGCAGCCTAGGAGGAAACCCTGACACGCAGCCTTGTAGGACAGAGCGAAACCTGGAAAACATATTCCGAAACCCATGACAACCGAAACTGACACGGCATCGCCAGATTTCACCCCCTACTCGATACTGAAACCGCCGCTTTCTGAAATTAGTGCAAAATGCAAACAGTGCTGTGAATACATTTTATCAAGGTTTTGTAACGCATATCCTCCCATTTCAGAATAAAGAAAATGACAGACTTGAGACCATGGCCTACTAGCCTATAGGTGGGCACGACTTGAGAACACCATCCAATTTCTAGTTGGCTCATTAGTAGATGTAACTAATACAGAAGGTGACATTTACCAGCCGTGGATGTCTAATCCAAATCTCATGCAACCCATTTAGCAAAATTTATGTCCCTCACACTGACCTTTGTACTCCAAAAAACCCATAAAAACCCCATCAAAATACCCAAACTGAACACCCAGTCAAGACACCCCATCAACACACCCCATCCCGCACCCCATTTCACCCTCCCTCAGTCACATCTGCGCATCCACCATATACGGGGCCTCCACCCAAAGAGCCCCGCCCTCCTCCTTGACGTCGTCCTTCTCCCGGTCCACCAAGTCCACATTCACCCCCCCCCATAGAAGGCGCCGCCCGAAGCAGGATGACACGAGCTTGCGCCCGTTGTAACGCTACCCCAATGAGCGCCTTCATAGACCCCAAAAGATAAACCGAAAACGAAAAATCATCCTCCCGACAAGCCCCCCGTGACACGGCTAGCCCCCCGTGACACGGCTAGCCCCCCGTGCGCATCCCCCTGTCGTCGAAGCCACCACCGGAAATGCCCGCCAAGTCACCCCCACGTCTCTACTATCAAAGGGGTGAATCGCACGCCCCGGTTGCGTGCAACCAGAGGCGCGTAATCACTCGTTTTGCGACGCTCCCATTCCTTTGCCGCCACACCAATAGAACGACCGCACTGCCCTAGCAGAGATGGAGACAGCAATAGCGGGTCCGCGACGCTGATCTCTAGAGCGTGAGCCTCCCCGGCCATTGGTCGTCGTACCGCTACGTCAACCCACTTCCCCGGCAGCACCACACTATCCTCCATCGTCACCACCCCCCCTGACGCCTTAGAGATCCTCGCCAATGCAATTTTCACCTCATCATGCACCCGAGATGGACCGTGCTGGTGCTTGCATCTCAAGGCATGATGCGGGTCTGCTGGGCCGACATACGTTGTGCCACAAACACACCTTCTCGCAACCTGCAGCTGCTGAATTGGGAGCCCGAGCCTTATAGCAGTAGCAATGCCCCACTCTGCCGCAGTGAATGTGAGATCTGAGTGAGCCGAGACCGCCGAAATCCATGCACCAGCCCCCGGGCCCTGAAGGGGTGTGAAACAGGCCAGGGTGGCATCGTCATGAGCCGAGCGGTGCAGTGCCTGGAGCTCCTCTACAGCCAACTGCCGCTGCCGCACCTGGAAAAGTCGAAGAGGAGGAGCCGCTGCACATAGAGGTAAGCCCAGCATCTCCTGGTGTATAGTCGCTGGCAGCTGCTCAATAGCCTTGGCAAACCAAGGATCAAGAAACTCCGCCCCTCCCGAGGTGGTGAGGTACTCTGCAAACATCGCCTCCTCCTCCGCCACCCCCAACTATGCAACATCACGCGCGGCCTGCGCCCACCCACAAACATAGGACAGCGCGCTCAAAGAGGCCGCCGCCCTGATCCCAAACCCTCCGAGTCGTATGGGAAGATGCAGCTGCATGCGCGCGCGCCTAGATTGGTCGGGGTCCTGCTCCCAAGTGCCAAGTGGGAAAAGCTGCTCAAAGCAATCCTCCAGACAGCTGTCCCAATCCCTAAAGGCCTCCACCACCTCCGGACGCGACGGCATAGTCCGGGCCATGTACATCGGCCGTGCTGAAACTGCAATGGCGAGGAGATGTGAAGCCATCTAGGGGTGGTCAAGCAAGGGGAGCCATTGCAATGGCCCCTGCAACTGTCGAAGCCGCTCTCGTAATCGGGCCACCTCCCAATCCTCCTCCCCAATAGGTACGCCCACCAGAGTGAGACCCTCCTCCACCCGCTGCATCCCCAATGGCAGTGCCCGCTCCACATCCCTGCCTTCCCGCTCCCAAAACCGGCACTTGTGTGCCTGCACCTCCAGCCCCACCCACTCCAACCGCTCCCGCAGCACCCCAAAAGCCTCTAAGATCCTAGCCGCTGGTCCCAGGATATAGGTATCGTCCGCATAACTGAGGAAAAGTATGTCCCTGAACTCTCTAATCACCGACTCCATCATCTGCTGCTGCGTGAACGCAAAAAGAAAAGGGCCGAGCGGGTCCCCCTGCCGCGATCGTCATGCCGACTCAAGAAACTATACGAAAGGGCCCGCTCGGAGGTACAGGTTGCTAGGTGTCCCGTAGAAAACACGCAAGAATGGGGTCAACCCCCAGAAAGGCAACTCCCGCAGCCCCTCAAACATCGCATGACGGTGAAACGAATTGAAGGCGTTCGCGACGTCTATCTGCAGCGCACAGCAATCGGGGTAAGTGGTCAGCGCTGACTGGAAAGAATGAGTAAGAATCTCCACCCCGACCCTGGTGCCCGCTCCCAGCTGGTTGCACGGCAGAAAGTAGGAAGCCATCGCAGGGCGGAGCGAGATGCAAAGAGCTCGAGCAAGGATACGCGGAAGCACCTCCCCAATCGCCACCGGCCGAACGTCGCTGTTAGGCTTGGAAAGCCCAACTAGGTTGGATGCGGCGAGCCAGGGCCGAGCCCGCTCGGGGACCTGTCCTGCCACCCATTGGTTCAACACCTCCAACAGGTGGGGAAGGCAGGAAGGTTGAGTGTGGAAGGTGTCGCGCAGATGCTCTGTGACCCACCCCGATGGCCCTGCTGCTGAAGCGTGAGCGGCTGTATGAATGGCTCTGGCCAGGACGTCGGTCGTCAGTGGAGGCCACTGAGGAGCATCGACGGTGAAATCACGGACCCACTGTGGTACCTCGCCAGAGCTAGCAGGGTGCTTCTCTTGCAGCGACTGCACCATGGCCTCAGACGGTCGAGCCAACTCTCCTGCTGTAAGGCAAGCCAATCCACGACTCCACTCTCCCACTTTACATCGAGCTCGGCACCGTGACAGGCGGATGGCATCCGGGTCCTGGTCAGAGCAAGCGTAGGCGAGTGGGCGAACTGCTGGCCGCGCCGCTGCCATGGCACGAACAGCTTCCGCCACCTCCCCTCCTAGAACGCCCCCAACCGCTCTATTATCAGCGCCTTCTGACCAATGCCTGGCTTGGGAGGCACGGCTAGGATGAGGCGTGGAAACGCCAAGAGCAGGAGGGTAGCGGCTTCATCCCCCGGTCGGCTCTTCAAACGCTTTAAGTTGCAACAGAGCGGGTCCAAGACCCCCGACCGGGCCCGCTGTGGGATCCGGCGCACTGTCCTCCCTCCAACCGCCTCCACACTGAAAAATGCTTCCCACTCCCATGACGTAACCCTGGCCCACGCCTCGTCCCCAAAGTCCCGTGGCGTCGGTCTCTCCTGCGTATCGGTCTCCACCAGGGACGGGATCGAGCCAAGTGCCTGCGCGCGCCTCTTCGCCTCAGCCGCCCTGCATACCCTCATGTGGTTCGCAGCAGCCCCTCGCGTAGCGAACGTATGAAAACACGTGTCACACAGAAAACGGGGCCATGGGGAAGGTGGTCTGGGATGCTCTCCGTCTGCCCCTGGCTCCTCCGCAATCGCCATGGGAGTATCTAACTCCAAAAGTCGGCTCCACTCCACCAACTGCTGCTCCAGGTCGTCCATCAGCTCCCCCCCTGGCCGCTGCTCTTCCTGGGGTCCACCACTCACACCTGGCTGCCCACCTGGCCGCTGCGTTCCCTGGGGTGGTCCGGTCACCCCCGGCTGCCCTCCTGGCTGCTGCTCTTCCTGAGGTGCTCCGATCACCCCCGACTGCCCCCCTTGCTGCTGCTCTCTCTGGGATGCTCCGGTCGCCGCCGGCTGCCCCCATGCCTGCTGCTGTCCCTGCGGTGCTCGGGTCACCCCCGGCTGCCCCCCTGACTGCTGCGCTCCCTGGGGTGCCCCGGTCACCCTCGGCTGCCCCCCTGGCTGCTCCGCTCCCTGGGGTGCTCCGGTTACCCTCGGCTGCCCCCCTGGCTGCTGCTCTCCCTGGGGTGATCCGGTCAACCCCGGCTGCCCCCCTGCCTGCTGCTCTCTCTGGGGTGCTCCGGCCGCCCCCGGCGGCCCCCCTGGCTGCTGCTCTCCCTGGGGTGTTCGGGTCACCTCCGGCTGCCCCCCTGGCTGCTGCGCTCCCCGAGGTGCTCGGGTCACCCCCGGCTGCCCCCCTGACTGCTGCGCTCCCTGGGGTGTCCCGGTCACCCCCGGCTGGCCCCCTAGCTGCTGCTCTCCCTGGGGTGCTCCGGTCACCCTCGGCTGGCCCCCTGGCTGCTGCTCTCCCTGGGGCGCTCGGGTCACCCCTGGCTGCTGCTCTGTCTGGGGTGCTCCTGCCGCCCCCAGCTGCCCCCCTGCCTGCTGCCCTCCCTGGGGTGCTCCTGCCGTTTTAGCTACCCCCCTGCCTGCTGCTCTCCCTGGGGTGCCCCGGTCACCCCCGGCTGCCCTCCTGGCTGCTGCGCTCCCTGGAGTGCTCCAGTCACCCCCGGCTGCCCCCCTGGCTGCTTCGCTCTCTGGGGTGCCCCGGTCACCCCCGGCTGCCCCTCTGGTTGCTGCTCTCCCTGGGGTGCCCGGGTCACCCCCGGCTGGCCCCCATCCCGCTACCCTCCCTGTCGTCGCCCCCTTCGGCGCCGTGCCCGCGACCCTTTGGCTTGGCCTGTGCCGCCCGGGCTAGTGACCCCCTGTTGATTCTGCACCTGCAACTCCTGCGACTCACTTGTCGGCAACCCCTGTTGCACGCTTCCAGGCAAGGGCTGGTTCCCCTCATAACACCCTTGCCGCCCTGCCTACGACTGGGGTTGATTCTCTGTTTGACTCCCCTCCTACATGCATACCGGCAGCTCCCCTCGCACCTCCTCTTGCGGCCCCTCCATCTCCACCTCCAGCTCCTGCAACTCCTGCTGCCCCCCAGCCTGCAGCTCCTGCTACTCCCCAACCCCCTGCTCCACCTCCATCTCTGCCGCCAACGCCTGTTGCCCTCTGGCCAGCTCTTGCTGTCCCCCAGCCTGCTGCCCTCCCTGGGGTGTCTTGGTCGCCCCCGGCTGCCCTCCTGCCTGCTGCTCTCCCTGGGGTGCTTCGGGCACCCCCGGCTGCCCTCCTGCCTGCTGCTCTCCCTGGGGTGCTCCGGGCACCCCCGGCTGCCCTCCTGCCTGCTGCTCTCCCTGGGGTGCTCCGGGCACCCTCAGCTGCCCCCCTGCCTGCTGCCCTCCATGGGGTGCTCCGTGCACCCTCAGCTGCCCCCCTGCCCGCTGCTCTCCCTTGTGGAGAGTGGTGACGAACTCAATCTGGTCATGTCAGTTGCGTGCCTAGTTCTGATTGTACTACCTGTGTATATAATTTCCGTATTACCCCGGATATAAGCGCACATGCGCTTATAATAAAACAATGTTTGTTGGAGGGGTGCGCTTATAATTGAGTCAGATATATAAGCACATGCACTTGTATAAGGGAAAAAATGAAATTCACTTTAAAACATACCAAAGTGAAGCTCTCAATAAGGCGAATTCAACCGACCATGCACCAAGTGGGATCGTGCATGGTTTTCAGGCAGAAACAGCTACAGTTCGGTTTCCCACCGCACAATTGTTAGAACATTATAGCTTATGCTTTTGTGTAGGCTGTAGTGGGGTAGCCCATATGGGGTACAACCCAATTAGGGTTAGTACTTGTACCCAACTCTTTCATAGTGCATTCATTCTCGTTCTATTTTTCTCATGGTATCGAGCAGGTTCCCTCGTGGGAACTGTTCCTAGGGCCCACCAATTCGAACTTTTTTTTTCCTGCCCGGAGCGCGCTCAGTCCCTGCCCGAGTCGCGCTCCCCTCTCTCGACCCTCTCGCGCCGCCTTAGCGGCCCCGTCGCGTCGCGATAGAGGCCCCGTCGCGTCGCCCTCGCGGCCCCATCCCGTCGCGCCGCCCTAGCGGCTGCGTCCCGCCGCCCTAGCGGCCCCGATCCGCCGCCCTAGCGGCCGCGTCCCCTACTCCTACGGCCCCGTCGCCTACCCCGCAGCCCCGGCGCTGCCCTTCCCGGCCCCAACGACGCCCTTCCCGGCCCAGCCCTGCCTCTGCTGACCCCATCGCCTAGCCCTGCGGCCCCGACGACGCCCTTCCCGGCCCCGATCCACCGCTCTGCGACCCCGTCGCCTACCCCGCGGCCCCGGCGCCGCCCTTTCTCGGCCCCGACGCCGCCCTTCCCGACCCTGCCCAGCATCTGCTGGCCCCGTCGCCTACCTTGCGGCCACGGCGCCGCCCTTTCCCGGCCCCGACGCCGCCCTTCCCGACCCGGCCCCGCCTCTGCTGGCCCCGTCGCCTACCTCTGCGGCCCCGACGCCGCCCTTCTCGGCCCCGGCACTGCCCTTCCCGGCCCCGGCCCAGCCTCTCCTGGCCCCGTCGCCCGCCCTTCCCGGCCCCGGCCCCGCCTTCATGCGGCCCCGCCGAGCTACTGCCGAGCCGCCAGCGACACCCGAGCCGCCCGAGCCGCCGCGCCACCTGAGCCGCCCGAGCCGCCGTACCGCCGAGCCGCCCGAGCCGCCCGAGCCGCCGAGTTGCCGGGCCGCAGTTGCCGCCGAGCCGCCCGAGCCGCCCGAGCCGCCGAGTCACCGAGCCGCCGAGCTGCAGTTCCTGCCGAGCCGCGGAGCCGCCCGAGCCGCCCTATCCGGTAAGAGCAGCGCCTCTGTCACTTCACTGCGCTTACCCCACTATTCGCGCTACTAGTCTACTGCTGTCATGGCTACCCCTAGTGTCCTTGCTTTTGACGCTGAGGGTCGGGCCATTGACTTTGACGTCTGGGTAGATGACCTGCAACTTTTCCTACAGTGCGATAGGGCAAACGGTCTCTCCCTCTTTGACCTCACCTCTGGTGCCTCTCCTGCCCCTGCTGCTGATACTGACGCCACTGTTCGCTCACAGTGGGCCACACGCGATGCTGCTGCACGTCTTGCTGTGTGTCACCACCTGCCTACCTCTGAGCGTGCGCACTTTAGCCAGTACAAGAGTGCTCAGACCTTGTACGACGCTGTAGTTGCACGCTACTCCTCCCCTGCCACTTCTGCACTGAGCCGCCTCATGCTACCATACCTCTTCTCTGACATTGCTGCCTTTCCCACAGTCGCTGACCTCATTACGCACCTCCGCACTAGTGACATTCGCTACCGCGCTGCGCTTCCTGCTGAGTTCTGCGCCAAGAACCCCCCCCCCCCCCCATGTACATCACTCTCTACTACATCGTCACCCGCCTCCCTGACTCCCTTCGCGTAGTCAGGGACCACTTCCTCTCAGTTTGCCCCACCACTCTCACCGTTGACCTCCTCGAGAAGGCCCTCCTAGCAGCAGAGAAGAGCATAGTCGCTGTAGGAGCCTCTCGTGGTGACCCTCGCACCCCCATCTTTGAGGGGTGTTCCCCCTCCCCCCTTTTGCCCTCTGTTGTCTCTGTTGCTGCGGCCGACCTCGTTGGGCTTGAGTCGGTCGGTAGGGCGTCTACCCCTAGCGGGAGACGCCGCCCTGGCAAGGGCAAGGGGGGCAGGGGCGCTGGAGGAGCTAGCGGGGGCGGTGGAGGCGGCGGTGGAGGCAGCGGAGGGAGTGGGGGTGGCGGTGGGGGTGGTGGCGGGGGTGGAGGTGTCGGTGGCGGCAGTGGAGGCGGAGGCGGCGGCGGTGGCGGTGGGAGCGGAGGTGGTGGAGGTGGCGGAGGTGGAGGAGGCGGTGGCGGAGGAGGTGGAGCTGGTCGGGGTGGCACTGCGCAGAGGGTCGGCTCCGGTGGTGGTCAGCCCCAGCAGTAGCAGCAGCAGCAGCGCACTCGCACCGGCGACCGCGCGGGTGAGTTGTGTGGGGGTGCGCACTCCACCCAGCGCTGCTTTGGCCGCCTGACGGACGCTTGGCGTCACCAGTTCCCGGAGGCCACGGAGATCCCCCGCTGGGGTGAGCTGTCTAGGGCGGGAGTAGCTATCTTTGACCTTGACTTTGATGCTATTCTTGCTGCCATGTATGCTGTGACTATTAGTGATGAGGGTGACTGTTACCGGTGTTTCCCGCCCGACCCGGGCATTGAGACTGCTACTCTAGGTACTGGTGAGGCTACTGCTCTAGGTGCTAGCGAGGCTGCTGCTCTAGGTACTCGTGCGTCTGCTTCCTCAGGTGCTGGTGAGTCCGCGCTCTCAAGTACCGAGTCGGCTTCGGCCTCCCTCACCTTCACCCTTGACTCGGGTGCTTCCCGCTCCTTCTTTTGAGACCGCACCACACTCACGCCGCTTGGTCGGCCAGTTGCAGTCTCTCTGGCAGACCCCTCTGGGGGTCCTGTCCTTACTCACTTCTCCACTGTCCTCCCGTTTCCGGCGGCTCCCTCTGGCCCCCTATCTGGTCTTTGCCTCCCCTCGTTCTCTACGAACTTGGTGAGTGGTGCTCACCTACAGGATGGGGGGGTTCACCAGTTCACTCCTGCGAGCCAGAAGGTGACCCACTGCACGGACGCTCGGACGGGCCGACACTTGGCCATGTTTACTCATCGGCTGGGGTCGAGCCTGTACACACTGACCATTGCGTCTCCTCCTGTCCCTGCGTCTGGTCAGGTAGCTGCGTCGGGTCAGGTGTTTGCTGCAGCGTCCAGGTCTGGTCCTGAGTCTGCCCCCTGCTCGTGTCGCCTCCTGTCTCACGAGACTCTCCTCTGGCACCACCGCCTTGGTCACCCCTCCCTGCTTCGTCTCCGAGGCATGGCCTCCCGTGTCCTTGTCTCTGGTCTTCCCCGGTCCCTCCCTCCCCTTCCTCCGGAGCCTGGCCCTACCTGTGTCCCCTGTGTCGAGGGGCGGCAGCGGGCTGCCCCTCACTCCTCCCAGTTTCCTCCGACAGAGGCCGCGCTGCAGACGCTTCACATGGACGTGTGGGGCCCCGCCCGCGTCCGTGGACTGGGTCACGAGCACTACTTCCTGCTGGTGGTTGACGACTACTCGCGTTACACCACAGTCTTCCCCTTGCGCAGCAAGGGTGATGTCACTGAGGTGTTGATCGACTGGATCCGCGCAGCTCGTCTCCAGCTCAGGCAGAGCTTCGGCTCGGACTTTCCTGTTCTGCGTCTGCACTCTGACAGAGGCGGAGAGTTCTCCTCTGGCCTTCTGCGAGCCTTCTGTCGTGCACGAGGCATCCGCCAGACCTTCACGCTTCCGGACTCTCCACAGCAAAATGGGATTGCTGAGCGCCGCATTGGCATGGTCATGGACGTCGCCCGTACGTCCATGATGCATCCGGCTGCCCCCCATTTTCTGTGGCTGTTTGCGATTAGGTACGCGGCGCATCAGCTCAACCTTCACCCCAGGGTCTCCATGCCGGAGACCTCCCTAGCCTTGCTGTGGACGGGGAAGGTTGGAGATGCGTCTGCGTTCCGTGTCTGGGGATCTCGGGCGTTTTTCCGCGACTTGTCTGCGGACAAGCTGTCCCCTCGTGCTACTCCTTGCGTCTTCCTTGGCTTCCCCCCTGACACGCATGGGTGGCAGTTCTACCACCCCACCTCTCGCCGTGTTCTGTCCTCCCAGGACGTCACGTTTGACGAGTCGGTCCCCTACTACCGCCTCTTCCCCTACCGCACTCCGTCCCTCCCCCCGCCGCCGCTCCTCCTCGTACCAGGTCCCCCCCCGGTAGACCCCCTCCCCCCTCAGGGTCCAGCCCCTTCAGGTGTGTCCCAGGTAGACGCAGTCGAGCCTGTCGAGGTCACTGGTGACTCTGGTGCTGCTGAGGGTGCTGAGCCTAATGGTGCTGACTCTGGGGGTGCTCAGCGTGTGGGTGCTACGCCTGGGGGTGCTGAGACTGGGGGTGCTGAGACTGGGGGTGCAAAGACTGGGGGTGCTGAGACTTGGGGTGCTGAGCCTGGGGGTGTTGAGCCTGGGGGTGCTACGCCTTGGGGTGCTGAGCCTGGGGGTGCTACGTCTAGAGGTGCTGAGCCTGGGGGTGTGGAGCATGAGGGAGCTGGGCCTGCTCGTGTGGCGTCGTGTGGTGCTAGGCCTGGATGTTCTCCGGGTGCTTCGTCTCGGCGGGAGCCACTCTCTCCACAGGAGCTACGCGAGTGGTTTGCCCGGCGCTAAAGGTGTGCTGCAGGAGCTTGAGGGTCTTCGGCTGCTGAGGGTGCTGGTGCCGCGGGTCCCGGAGGTGCTCGTACTGGAGGTATTGGAGCTTCTGGGCCGGCGGGTGCGACTGGAGCTGGAGCTGCTGAGGGTGTTGGTGCTGAGACTACTGGTGTCGGTCCTAGAGGCGATGCTACTGTAGGTGCTACAAGTGCTGCTGAAGGTCCTGGAGCTGGAGGTGCTGCTGGCGCTGGTGCTGCCGCTGGGGGTGCTGGTGCTGTCCCTGCTGTGTCTGGAGTCGCTGAGCGGCCTCGGCCGTACTTCGTTCCGCTCCTTGAGCAGGTTCTTGGTCTCCCGCCTTCTACTGGTCCTCCTCCTCCCTTAGAGTGTCCACAGCCTGTCCCGTCACAGTTACAGTTACAACCGGCCTCCCCACTGCCTGCTCCCTCTCCCTACACTGGTCCTACTGGAGGTCTTGCTGAGCGTCGTGAGCCTGCGTCTCGCCCTACGTCGCCTGTCCGTCCTGCTCACACTAGTGGTCGTAGTTCGCGTCAGCGTCCTCCTCCTATCCCTGGCACGCACCGGATGTCTCTGCGTCCGTCCACTGCTCCTCTGCGTGCCCCTTGGCCTTCTCCTCCTGAGTCCTCTCTTCCTGCTCTTGCCGACCCGGAGTCGGACTCTCTTCGTGCTGCCAGTCCTACTGTCACGCGTCTCCTTGCTACTGTCGTCACTAACCCTTCCTTTGAGTCCACTACTGCGTCTGCCCTCGTTGCTGAGCTCGTCGACTTTGCTGCTCGCTATCGTCTAGACTACGCTGCTAGTCTTGTCGCTGAGTCTGAATCTGTCTGTCCTCCGTCCGTCGGGGGTGAGTGTGCCCTTGGCACGGACGTCCTTGAGGACAGGCAAGAGGAGTTCCAGTGTTTGGCTGCTGCTTCACCTCATCTCGTGTTCCTCCTGGCACCCAGTGGAGCCTTCTGCGGCCAGTCTATGGTCTCTGCCAGGCACCGCGTGAGTGGCACGACACACTGAGGACTACGCTTGCAGCTCTTGGGTTTGCTCCCTCTACTGCCGACCCGTCGCTGTTTTTGCGCACCGACACTTCTTTGCCACCGTTCTACATCCTCGTGTACGTCGACGACTTGGTCTTTGCCACAGCTGACACTTCTGGACTCGCCCGCGTGAAGTCCGAGCTGCAGAAGAGACACACGTGCACAGACCTGGGTGAACTGCGCAGCTACCTTGGCTTGCAGATCACCCGGGACAGAGCACGCCGCACCATTACCCTGACTCATTCACACATGGTGCAGCAGGTCCTTCAGCGCTTCGGCTTCACGTACTCCTCGCCTCAGGCCACTCCTCTGCCTACTCGCCACTCGCTCTAAGCTCTGCCTTCGGATGAGTTCGTAGAGTCGAGTGGCCCGTACCCAGAGCTTGTTGGCTGCCTCATGTACCTGATGACCTGCACTTGACCTGACCTTGCATACCCTCTTAGCATTCTCGCACGTTATGTTGCTCCTGGGAGACACAGACCGGAGCACATGGCTGCATCGAAGAGGGTGTTGCGCTACTTGTGCAGTACGTCGGGCATGGGGCTTGTGCTTGGAGGGCAGAGTCCAGTGGTCCTCACTGGTCACGCAGACGCTTCTTGGGCAGACGACCAGGCTACGCAGCGGTCGTCACAGGGTTACACATTCAACCTTGGTTCCGGCTCTGTTTCGTGGTGGGCTACCCGCTCGTCTTCTGTTCTCGGCTCCAGTTGTGAGGCTGAGATCTACGCCGGGGCCATGGCTGCACAGGAGCTTCGCTGGCTCACCTACCTGCTGACTGACCTCGGAGAGCCGCCTCGTTCTCCTCCAATGCTGTAGTAGACAACAAGGCCATGCTGGCCTTGTGTCTAGAGCAGAGACTGGAGCAGAGAACGAAGCACATTGCTCTTCGCTACTTCCTTGCTCGTGAGCTGCAGCAGCGTGGTCAGCTGCGTCTTGCGTACGTGGCCTCTGAGGCCAACACTGCTGATATCTTCACCAAGGCGCTTGCGCCTTGTGATCATCAGCGCTACTGTACTCAGCTGGGTCTTGTGCCTGCCTTGCCTCACTTGCTCACCTCTTGACCTTGCTTGTACTGTTACATATAGATATACACCTGCTCTTGCTTGTCTAGCCTTTTATGTATATATATATATATATTTATATATATGTAATCCTGCATGTGAACTGGCCTTGTAGCCTTGACCTTGTGCTCAGAATATGTGGTGACTTTGTGATCCACCCTGAGCTTGCTTTGTTTTGCTATTCTTGACTGGTCTTGTGAGCCCTTGTTCTCCCCCACTTTGCCTATGGGGGTGTGTCAGAACATTATAGCTTATGCTTTTGTGTAGGCTGTAGTGGGGTAGCCCATATGGGGTACAACTCAATTAGGGTTAGTACTTGTACCCAACTCTTTCATAGTGCATTCATTCTCGTTCTAGTTTTCTCAACAATGTTGTCTGGAACCATCGAACGTGACAGCCGTGACGAGGATGTTGCCGTGCGGCCCAATCAGAGCCGCATGCGCTGTGTGGCATGTGCATTTGGGCATAGCCATCTCGAAGGGTGGGCAAGATTCCCTGCTAGCGCAACGTATATGCTGCCACGCAGGCGCTTCTACAGGAGTAGGCGGGGGTTTCCTACCTGTCATCGACGAGGACCCCGAGCTGCCTTGCAGTAGGGGTCCCCGTCGTTGCCCATTTCTGCACCCTCGTCTTCATTTTTTTCATTCAGTTTCCAGTCTTGCCCGCCTGGCAGGCGAAGCCATGGCGGAATTCAGTAAGACTCACATCCTCTTCAAGAAAAAACCACGCCGCACATGGCAACTTATCGAGGACGGGTGGTATATTCGTGAGCCACCTGCGCCTCCAGTGCCACCGGATCCCCCTGCACCCCCTGCTCCTCCTGCTTCTCCTGCGCCTCCTTCTCCACCTACTCCTCCCGCTCCTCCCGCAGCTCCCGCTCCTCCGAATCTGCCTGATTCTGTTACAGCAGGTGCTCACCAACGGCCCGTGCTCCAGCTGTATTTACCAGCCACGTTCGACGAATGGTTGGCTGAAGCGGACACACCCAAGGCCCCCGATGCGTGCATCCAAGCTCCGGCGCATGCACCACGGTGGGGACAACCAGAAGCCTGCGCGTGGGATGAGTCGGCTGTTGGTGCCGACGATGATGTGGTCGCCGACAAACATGACAGCGGCGCCGGCGAAGCTGGAGGCGTCGGTGCAGCGGGCGACGAGGAAGACGTGTTCCCAGACCGTGACACAACTGCCGAGGAAGATGACGGTGTGGAGTCCTGGTGGCGCGACGCACCACGCGAGAAGATGCCGATACCGACATATCCGCCCATTAACAGAAAACGCCCCCACCCGTCTTCCGAGAACCGAGATGCCCGCCCCCCCTCCCCCAGGCACAAGCAGACTCAACATAAGCGACGGTCCTACACCGCCTAGGAGAAATTGAGGTGGCTCGTGCGGCTCGAGCTTGCGGCATCGGTGAGCGAAGTGGCAGGGAGTCCGGCATACACTGAAAATGCCTGACAGAGTGGAAATCCCAAGCGGAGGCGCTCAAGGCTGCACACGGCGCACGGATGCGACTTCACGGTCGCAGGAGGTCGTCTTGGTACCGACCTATGGAGTTAAAGGTGTACGCGCAACTTCTCGACTGGCGACGCCGCGGAGTTGCGGTTTCGGTCGGCCGGCTGCAAGAGTGGTCCAAAGAAGTGATGAAGGTGCTGTTCCCTGACTTCAAGTGGAAAGGCACTCAGCGGTGGACGGAGCGGTTCCGCAAGCGGTGGAACCTCAGTGTGTGCATGAAAACAAAGGTGGCTCAGAAAACACAGGAGCGTAAGTGGTTTGTTTACCATTGATTTCGATGAATCCCGATTATTATTTTTGCTTTGTTGCCTGTCTCCTATGCGCGATACTAAACCGGCTTACTATGTGTCCTTCCCTCCCTGTGCGCAGACGTGGAGGAGCAGTGCAAGGAGTTTTGGCAGTACGTACGAGACGCCCGGAATAAATACAGATATTGACAACCGTTATATCATCAACGCCGACCAGACACCACTGTGGTTGGAGATGCCGGCGACGACCACCGTGGAGCAGACGGGCGTGAAGTCGGTGCCCATCCGCAGCGGTGGGTACCAGAACGAGAGAGTCACCGTGATGCTTGCGTGCACTGCGACGGGCGAGAAGCTGAAGCCGTGGGTGTTTTTCAAGCGCAAGACACTCCCCAAGGGTGACTTCCCGAAAGGTAAGATGTTGTCGCGCGTGTTTTTGACGGTATTGCCAGAGTCGTTCTAACCCGTCGTTTTCCTGCGTGCAGATGTTGTGGTCGGCTGCCAAGCGAACGGGTGGATGGAGGCCGCGGGCGTCATCGAGTGGCTCGATGCGGGCGTGGTGCCGTTCCTGAAGCCGAAATTCGGCCTGCAGAGTCGTAGTCACTTGACACCCGAAGTCAAGGCGAGATTCGCGGCGCTCAACGTCGTGCCTGCGATCATCCCGGTGGGATGCACGGCAGACCTACAGCCACTCGATGTGTCGATCAACAAGAGCTTCAAAGCAAGCGTTCGTCAGCAGTACCAGACTTGGTTTGAGCAGGACGGCATGAACATCCTGACCCCGGCAGGTGAGTGACGACATGTTCTCCCGTCTCCAAATCGTGTGTTTGTATGCCTATTTATGGACTCATGTTTTCCCCGCCCCATTCCGTGTGATGCAGGGAACATCAAGAAACCACCTCCGGAGGTGGTGCTCAAGTGGATTTCACGGGCGTGGAAGGATGTGCCCGCCGACCTGATCAAGAAAGCCTTCCTCACGTGCGGCATCAGCAACGCCCTTGACGGGAGCGAAGACAAATTGGTGATGGCGCACCGGAGAGGCCAGTTGTCCCAGGAGGTGGAGGTAGAAGACGACATCCAGGCAGATGGGTTCTGAGGCAACAACTCCACAGAGCCTGAGTCGGACGAGGAGTAAGAATAGGCCATAGGGTAGACTAGGCAGAAAGCTTGTAGACCACTCTTGTATGTGATTGTCTTAGTTACTGGAAATTTTAGAAAATGTTGGCTAGGTTAACATTTTTTTATTTTGATTTTTTTAACATCAATGGTGCGCTTATAATAAGTAACGATTCTCCAAGGGGTGCGCTAATAATTGAGGATCGGCCATAAGCACATTGCTCCAAATACAAGCGCATGCGCCTTTAATAGGCCTGCGCTTATATCCGGGGCCATACGGTACCGAAGCATACCGTATTATCCTCCACGACAGTCGGTGACATACTGCAAAAGAACACTGACAACATAGACCATCTTATCCACTGTTTATATCATCTATACTCCTCTTCCTCAATGGACCCATAGCCCTTGCTCTTGCAATTGCCTGCCAGAACCACGCTCTTTCACTCTCGCTAATACTGCGTCCCTCTCCTGCTGCAACTTCACTTGCTGCTGTTGCAGCTCAGCAGCTCTCTCTGTTGCTTCCGCCTCTCTCCGACACAACGCGCTGTGTTCCACCCTCAGCTTTGCAGCCTGTGTCACGACAAGGGGGGGGGTGGGGATTTGGGGGGAGGAATTCAACGGGAACAACAATGGTGAATGCGCTGACACCATGCCTCGTGCCAGTGTCCTGCTCCGTCCCATCCCGAGCCATGCCGAGGAATGCATGCACAGTTCTTTCAGCATGTCATCCTGATGTGGCACTTGGTTGCATACATCTTACGAAGCACAAGCACTCCAATAGCAAATAGTGAATTACCTCTCGTTCCCACAACCCATTCAGCCCGCATCCCATCCCGTCCGTTCCCATCCCGTCCGTTCCCATCCCATCGCATCAAATCCCATCCCATCCCACCCCACCCCACACTACTTCCCACTGCATCCCATCGCTCCCCACCCATTCACTCACATCCATCTCCAGCTTCTCCAGCAGCTGCTGGCGGCGAAGGCGACTGCGCTTGGCTGACTGCCGGTTGGAGTGCATTCTGCCCATGGGGACGAGACAGGGGGTGAGATGAGAAGGAGAGGAGACAAGTGGTAAGAAGACAGGGGAAGAGACAAGGGAACGACAGGGGAGGGACAAAGGGGTTAGACGACAGGGAGGGACAAGGGGGTAAGACGACAGGGAGGGACAAGTGGGTAAGACGACAGGGAGGGACAAGGGGGTAAGACGACAGGGAGGGACAAGGGGGTAAGACGACAGGGAGGGACAAGGGGATAAGACGACAGGGAGGGACAAGGGGGTAAGACGACAGGGAGGGACAAGGGGATAAGACGACAGGGAGGGACAAGGGGATAAGACGACAGGGAGGGACAAGGGGGTAAGACGACAGGGAGGGACAAGGGGGTAAGACGACAGGGAGGGACAAGGGGGTAAGACGACAGGGAGGGACAAGGGGATAAGACGACAGGGAGGGACAAGGGGGTAAGACGACCGGGAGGGACAAGGGGGTAAGACGACAGGGAGGGACAAGGGGGTAAGACGACAGGGAGGGACAAGGGGGTAAGAAGTGACAGGGGAAGAGTCCAGGGGGTCTGACACACACAGATACCCTTTTTCAGATGATGACAGAGAAGAGTTGGAGTTTCAGAGGGAAATACAGAGAGGCAAGTGTGGGCATAGGGATGGTGGGAGCATGAAGGGCGGAAATGGGGCAGCACAGTGGGCAGTCCAACCCGTGTGATGCACTGACCTCCTCTGCTTGCGCTGATTCGTCACATCATCATCACCATGATGCCCTTGCCCTTGACCATAACCATCATCGCCCACCATGCCCTCCCCCTTACCGCCGCCCACCCCATGCCGCCCGCCACCTGCGGCAGCAGCAGTGACAGAAGCAGTGGTGGCAGGCGCAGCAGTGGCAGCGATTGCAGAAGAGTTGGCAGGCAGAGGGTGGGGGGCAACAGTCGATAAACCGACCCCGTGTGTTGGTGGGGGTGCAATGGCAGGCCATGGTGCTGGGACGAGGGGAGACGACTGGAAGGGCAGAGGAGACTGGAGTGGGGGCTGTGATGAGGACTCGGGTTGTGCAATAAGCAGCTGAGGCTGTGATGATAGTTGGGGCTGTGATATAAGCAGGCGGGGTTGTGATAGCAGCTGAGGCTGTGATAGTATCGGGGGCTGTGGCATAAGGGGCAAGGGCTGGGGCAAAGCGGGGATATGGGGAGGAGAGGGCAGCGGTAGCAGGACGTGGGTGGAGGGGCGGTGGGGCAGCAGGTGCTGCCAGGGCAGCGGCAGCAGAGCAGTTGCAGGGAGGGCCACCATGGAAGGCGGAAGGATGGAGGGCGGACGTAAGGAACCACCCGCGCCTGTTGCTGCGCCTGCTGCCATGGCTGTGTCTGTGCATGCACCACCTGTTGCATCGGCTGCTATGTGTGGCTGCCCGCTCGTCCCTCCGGCTGGCGATTGACTGCGCAGTAGTTCCGGCACTCGTTCCTGTTCCTGGGATGTGTGAGGCGTCTCGGCAGCAGCAGCAGCACACTCTTGCGTCTGTGCGTGGGCGGTTTGTTGGGGCGGCGCTGTCACTACGCCACGCATCACTCCGCCCAGGCGGTCTCCGCCAGTCGTTGCGCTCGCTAGTAGCGCCGGCGCGCCCACCACTATCCTGTTCTCCTCTGCGATGCCGCCCCTCCATCCGCCCGTTCCACCGGTACCCCCTGCAGAGGCGGGTTCTCTCGCAGTCCTGCCGGCCCTTGCGCATTCAGCCGCGCCGCGCGCAGTCGCGCGTGCTCCCTCGGCCGCCGGATGCCCGGAGAGGCCGGCGATGGGGGCGTGCTGAGGATGGCTTTGCGGATGAAGCTGCTCTTGCGGATGATTCCGGTTGTGCGGATCACAGAACGGCTGACGATCTTGCCGACCGCCACCTTGTGCCGTGGCATTGCCGGACTCCGTCAAGTCCACCGGCGGCCATCTGCTCGTCGACCAATCGCCGGCGAGGCACATCGTCGCGCGATGATCGCGGCAGCTTGGGTCCGACAGCCCGGCCAACGACTCATAGTAAAATGACGTTTGAGGCGACCAAGTAAGGCCGCTCGTCGATGCTGCCTCAAAACTCCTTCTTTCCGCCGAGTCGTCGTCGTCGTAGCGGAATGGCCGCTTTCGCTTCGCTGAGACGGACGGCTGCCAGAAGCCGTTCTGCTCGTGATAGCGGCGCTCGTCGCAGTCAGCGGGACGGGCGGCGACTTCCCCGCCGCACGTCGCGGCGGTGCTCTCTTCAAAGGCGCGCAGCTGAACGCCGTTGCTTCCTCCAATGCGCGCCGCGCCCTGGTATCCACCGCTGCCGCCGACTCTGCCGCCGCTGCCGCCGCCGCCACTCCGATCCGTGATCTCGCCGTCGCCGCTGCTGCCAGGACAGTCGTTTCCATCTGCCGCATTTTCTCGGCCGCCACCACCGGCGGTGTCGGCGTTTCCAGCAACGTCTCGCGAATCGCAGGCGTGCGTACCGCCCATCACTGGCGAAAAAAAAGCAGCCGCGAGTGGACGTGGAGGATCGAGAATCGTCGCATGCGATGATGCGACATCGGCAGGATGCGGCGGCGACTTTTTTATCGCGGAGAGCAATGATTGGTTCGCTGCGGCGTGCGAGGCGCAATGGCTCGGCTCCGGCGCAAGTACCCTGCGCAAACACCGCCGCAGGTTGGGACGGGGAGGGGGTCGGGAGGTGGGGAGGCAAGACGTGAAGACGTGGGGATGGTGGGAACGCGGGGACGCGGGTAGGTGGGGACGGGGGGAGATGGACCGAGAAGAAGAAAGAAGTGTCAATCTCTCCAAAACTAGGAGGATACAGCGTTCACGAGTAAAAGTGTGTCTGGTTGGAGAGAGGAAGAGTTGGTTGGTCGGGCCGCACACGGCGGGAATGAAGAGACAGGGAGAGACAGCGGCGGGGACGAAGAGGACACGGCGGAAGCGGGAGGAACGACGAGCAGTTGCGAGCACAGTGCATGGCACGAGTCGCGAGTGCTCCTCTGAATGCACTCGTTCGGTAAGAGGCATGCGAGGGGTGAGAGAGAAAATACTCACTGGCGCATGTCGTGTATTTGTCGCTCGATGGCCTTCTCGATCGCCCAGATCGTCGTCATTCGGTCGTCATTCGACGGGAACGTTACACGCGTAAGGCGGCTGGGGGAGCCAGCTGTGGTCTGGTCGCGTTTCGTAATCTTGTTCCTCAAAGCAGATACTGCCTCTGCGACTGTCCCTCGTGGGCTAGCCGCTGTCTCGCGTAGCTGCGCGACCTCCATTACACAGAAAAGCGTTCCAATAATGGTACTGCCTAGTGCAGCGTCTCGTATCGTTCGTAGGCTTGGCCCTTGGAAAGGTTCTCGCGGCGCCTGTGTGTGATCTCTGACAATTCTCTATCTTATGAGGAAGCGATGCGAATGGAAATGAATGGATGTTCTCGTGTCCCACATTTGTGTTGTGTATTGGCAAAGGAGAAGCAGAACCAGCAGGAGACGAATTGAAGGAGGTGGGGAGGGAGGTGTCAACGGTGCAATCCATTTATGGGCACTGACGCAGTTAGTCCAGATTGTGGGGGTTTCTGTCTGCATGCCCTAAATACTGGTCTAAAAGTGCATACCCGGAATCGGAAGGAGGAGAAACTTTGAGACTTTGAGTTTCTGACGTATTTCGTGTAGAGGAGAAAATCAAACATATTTAACGTCAGCCCTCCATTCTGTATTCTTTCCCTGGACGGACCAGGGAATTTCTTACACATGTCTTCGTAATTTAGGGTGTAGCGCCGTGAAGCACCTTATTCCAGCACCACCCATTGTCATCCTGAGCATCTGTTGCAGGATGGAGCAGATTGCACCCAATTGCAGCGCAGCGCTTTTCTGAATGAAGAAATTTGATTTCCACGTGGAGAATGCGACCCGGCGTATCAGAGCACGCTTTAAGCGGGGCAAGTTTTCTCCTGGTTGGAGGGAGGGAAACAGACGGGTTGGAAGTGATGTGACAGGCTGAGCTGGAATTCCCTGACGTGGTTCTATTGGCTCCCGGGGGCTAAATTTAGCACGTCAGCAAACAAATACAGCTTGCTGACGCCATGACACACGCGCAATCCAGAGCTTCTTGACTCCACACCACAGCAGCTTTTAGGTACAGTTTTCAAACATCACTCCAGGTTTCCGGAGTACAGTACGACACATCCAATAGTCCTCTCTTAGTGTTCTGTGATGGCTGCAATCACGAACGCGGCTGACTTGAAACCTCACCCAACCTCTCTTATTTCAGGAGTTAACCCGTGACGTACCCAGTTCTACGGAGAAGCACACACAACACTTCACATTGGCACACCGTATCTTCACACAAACTGCTGGAACGACGGCAAATCTCAAAATATCTCTGGTGATTCCCAGCAGGGTCCGATATTAGCAGCGTAAGCGTATGAACATTCAGTGGAAACATGTCAATAGTACAATTTGGTATGGCCGTTTAAATACTTGCTAGTCAAGTCAACTGAACAGATGCAATGCAAACTCAGCCAACCCAAGTTTGTGTTGCAGCTGCCCTGCCTGCACAAAAATGGAAATCATTGCAGGAACGAATCCCCCCGAGCGCAAAGGCCAACGGCAAGGAATCCATGGACAGTCCAGCATTTTGGTTGAAATTGTGGACAATCAAACATCACTTCACTCACTTCACATAAGAATTAATCGCATCCTCTATAACTCCGTGGTTACAAAACCTTTCACAAAGGCTTTCTGAACCACATTGTGCATGAACCATTTGTTTCAAAAGCGCCGCATGTCCTTGGGTGGCCGGAGGTGGGGCGAAGCAGTGCCCTCGCTGCGGAGACTCACTACGCAACGGGAATGGACTACGAAGTAGGGCATGGGGTTGTGCGGGTAATCGTAGCGTTGCACTAGCATTCTCACTACTTCCTATCATCACAGGGAAATTTGACAAGAGTTTCACTAAGGGCGTATTCCTATAGCCTCCTATCAAGACCACCTCCTATCAAGATTGTACTTTTGCCTGGGAAAAGTAGCGAGAGGGTTTGGGTTTATGGGGATTTTTCAGTGTGAGCTTGATATGAGGTCAGATTGATAGGAGGATAGGATGTCAGAATATTATCTTATTGTTCTAGCCTGTAGTGGGGTGCTCTATAGCGAGTACAACCCTTCTAGGGTTTGCTATTTGTATCCTCATTCTTGCTAGTTCAATTCTCTTTCTTCCTTCAAACTTTGACATGCTATCAGAGCAGGTCGATCCCCTTGGATCGATCCTGTGGGTGTGTCCCCACCTTGCTTCCGCTGCTACCTGTCCTTCCCGCCGTGCGCCCCGAGGCGCGCGGCGATTTTTTTTCCTTCCCGCCGTGCGCCCCGAGGCGCGCGGCGGTTTTCTGCCCGCCGTGCGCCCTAGGGCGCGCGGCGGTTCTTTGCCCGCTGTGCGCCCCGAGGCGTGCGGCGGGCGTCTGCTCTACGTCGCGGCCCCGCCCTACGTCGGGCTTCTCCCCTTCGTCGCGGCCCCGCCCCTCGACGCGGCCCCGCCCTATGTCGCGGCCCCGCCCTGCGTCGCGGCCCCGCCCCTCGAAGCGGCCCTGCCCCGACCGTCGCGGCCCCGCCCCACCTTCGCGGGCGTCTGCCCTACGTCGCGGCCCCGCCCCGACCGACACGGCCCCGCCCTCGTCGCGGCCCCGCCCTACAGTCGCGGCCCCGCCCTACAGTCGCGGCTCCGCCCTGCGTCGCGGCCCCGTCCCTTCGAAGCGGCCCCGCCCCTTGTCGCGGCCCCGCCCTCCCCTCAGGTCCGTGGTGGGCCCCCCCCCTTTCTCCCCTTCCCCCATTTCCCGTCGCCCGTCGCGGCTCCTTCGGGGGCCGCAAGCGGCCCCCTCAGGTCGCCACGACGGACGACGGGAGGGGCGAGCTGTGGGGTGGCGGGTATGGGGGTGGCCGGTGTGCCTTCCTCCCTTTCTCCTCCTCCTCCTTCGTCTCCCACTGCTGCAGCTGTCGCTGAGGGGGGTGGTTGTGTGGGAGACTGGGTTTAGGGTTTTAGGGGGGTGCGTGGGAGTAGAGCTAGTGGTGTAGCAGTGGGTGTGTATCAGGGGGGTGGGACTGTGTGCGGGAGGATGAGCGGAGGTTGCCAGTTTGTCGTCAGCAGCACCTGTAGTCCGGGGCGCTGTCCCGGTAGCCCAGTCGTAGCCAGCTGTGCCAGCCGCCCGTGGGTCCGTTGCCCGTCCGCCGCTATTTGAGCCGCGGGGCCTGTTACCCCTGTAGTCCGGGCGCTGTCCGGTAGCCGCTGTGCCAGTCTGCCTCCTGTTGCCCGTGTGTCTGCAGCTTCAGCCGTCGCCTCCTGTCTCCTCTCCCCTCACTCTCCCTCCTCCTCCTCACTTGCCCGTTGTGACTACCACTAGCTTTGCTTATAATTGTTAACTCTAAACTATTTCTTCTTGAACTTGTGCTCAGAATGTGTGGTGACATTGTGATCCACCCTGAGCTTGTTTTGCTTTGCCTGCTCTGCTGATTACACCCCACTTTGGCTATGGGGGTGTGTCAGAATATTATCTTATTGTTCTAGCCTGTAGTGGGGTGCTCTATAGCGAGTACAACCCTTCTAGGGTTTGCTATTTGTATCCTCATTCTTGCTAGTTCAATTCTCTTTCTTCCTTCAAACTTTGACATAGGAATACGCCCTAAGAGATTGAGAGAACATCGAGAATTGGAATACAAAATGAGGCATGCAAGTCCATATAGCTAGAATGGCATTGCAACAGCTAGCAAGCCCTGTGCAGGCCAAGCTCTGCCATTGCATCAGAATAACGGCTTACCAAAGCTGCAGCAGAATAGTCTGCCAACGTTGCAACGTTGCAAGCGCTGCAAAGGCTGGTGAACTTCTGCGCATGTGCGCACCTACCAAGTAGGTGCAGGTACACGGTCGAAGCGTGAGGCACATTCCGCAGGTGCCAGGTAGAATACGTATCCACGGTTTCGCCAGCCGTGTGTCAAACGGATTTTGTATGTTTGTAGGCTATAGTGGGATAGCCTCTACTGAGTACAACACTAAGGTTAGACCTAGTACTCGTACTCATCTCATCCCTCTAGTCATTATTTCTGCACGTTATTTTTGATATAGTATCAGAGCAGGTCCATCCGTAGGACCGCTCGTTTAGGGCCCACCGTTAGTTCCGTTCTGCCCGTTTTTTCTGTCTGTGGCGCGCCACCAGAATGCGCCCCTAGTCCTGCCCGAATCGCGCCCCTAAGCAAGCCGTTTTTCCTGCTGGAATCGCACCCCTAGGCGAGTCGTTTTTCCTGCCCGAATTGCGCCCCTAGATGAGCTGTTTTTCCCACCCGAATCAAGCCCCTAGGCGAGCCGTTTTTCCTTCCCGAATCGCGCCCCTAGGCAAGCCGTTTTTCTGCCCGAATTGTGCCCCTAGGAGAGCCGTTTTCCCGTGTGCCGTGCAGCCAAAGCTCTGCCTTGTCCTGCAGCACGCGCACTGCCCTGCCCTGTAGCCC